ATCTCAGAGTCCTGTCTTCCCTAGAGAAAGAGTTAAAATGGAAACGGGTGTGCTCATATTTACTGGAGGAGGAAGCATCCCTAAGACAGTAGTTAACATACGCATCTTCATCACTGCTGATGAGCTCTTACCAAATATTCAAAATAAAATTAATGAACTTCATCTTATATATGGGAAGATAACCGAGCAGCAAAATGATTAGTGTCCATTGTGAAGTATATATTGGTGGTGGGGGAGGAGTGGGGCTGAGTGGGGGTGTAGACTGCTAGTCATCGTTAAAAACAACATTCTCAAGAATGACTTTGTTCTGCAGCACAGGGATGTTCTTACCTTTCAGAAATTGGCCTCCTTGTCCCAGTTGCCCCCTTCTTATACTGCTCAGATAAATGGTGCTATTTCCTACTTTTATTGGTGTGCCTGCCTACTAGCTGTGAGCCAGGAAACCAGAGGAAGCCTGTGAAAGCCTGTGAAATATGATTGCCAAAGGCGGGGATTGGCTGGTGCCGGAGGGATGGCGGGTGGGGTGTCCACAGGGCTGCACTATGAAGTCCCTGTGCCCAGACTAATTATATCAGAATCTCTGGGGCTGAGGCCCAGCATCACAAGAGTGTGGTGAAGGCCTAGTGAGAGGGGAGCCGAGGAGAGGGGCCAATGGGGGAAAAAGGGGAAATCTGTAATACTTGCAACAATATTTAAAAACACACACACAACCTTCCAGGTGATCCCAAAGGGCCACCAAAGTGGAGAGGCACTCACAGCTCTGAACACTGGGTGCCACTATACATGGGACTGGCCAACACTGCAAGGTGGTGGTGGGGAGGGAGGGGTGAGCAGGAAAGCCAGGGCAGCTTCCTGTGGGACAGAGTGAAGGTGTTGCTGTCTCTCCACTCCTCCCCCAGCCCCGATACAGATTCATCTTTGTGAAAAAAATTCTGATAGATTTTTTGACTTTTTATTATATATATATATATATATATATATATATATATATATAGATATAGATATAGATATAGATATATAGATATATATAGATATATAGATATATAGATATATATATATATAATCCTGCCTTTATCAGAAGTATGTACATTCTTTTTTTTTGGGTCATTAGGATGTAGTTGATAAATGATAGTATTTCTTAGTTCTGTTGAGAATTTCCACAGGACATATTTAGTCTTAGTCCTTAGGTCGTTTTCATTTTCATTTCAACAGATAGGCAATGAACCACTTCTTAAAGGCCAAATACTGTACAAGGTTTGGGGGATATGATGGTGCATTGAGGGTCCCCAAGACCACTCCCACGCTTGAATGTCTTCTATAAGGAGTCTGTGGGAGTCGGCACAGCTAAGATTTACTATAGTGAGGTATGTAGTGAGGATACACAGACAAATCATAAGAGAAAAAGACACCAGTGAGGTCTGGAGAAATCATGTGCAACTTTCCTTACGCCCTCTCCCTCCTGGGAGGGTCGCAGAGTGCACCTCAATGGCGATATGCATGTAGTGTGTAGTGTTTCTGCCCGGGGCCCAGTAGAGATTCCAGCCTGAGGTTTTCCCTGGGGCCTGGTCACACTGGCACCCTCTGCCTAGCACGTTGCAAATGTCCAGATCCCAGAAGGAAAGCAGGTGTTCAGCATAAACCGCATTGTTTGTATAAGCAGGTTAGGCACAGTAGGCCACTCTGATCACATCCGTGCAAAGAGCTGTTTACCAGCCAAGCTCTCAGGGCCACTGGCCAACCTGGCAAGCAGGCAATGACAGCCCCCAGCCCCACTGTTAGGTCTTCTGCATGAATGGCAAGCTGAAATGGTCTCTGCCTCTGGAAGCTCTGCTCCGTGACATTGAAGAGAGGAACGGACTTCCATCCAATCACTCTCCCTGCAGACAGAAACACGTCTCTGTGACGGTCTCAGGAAGGGAGGTGCAGCGTGTCAGGACAGCTCACACAGGAAGGTCGGCCCTGGCCGTGAATTTCAGGGGAGTTTCCCTAAGGCTTCCAGATGGTGAACCAGGGGAGATGAGAGGTGAGGGAAGAGCAGGGCGTAAGGAACCAGCGAGGGCTTGATGAACAGCAGTCTCACAGCCATAAGCCAGTCAGGGAAAGACAAGTATCACATGATCTCACTCCTATGTGGAAGCTAATGAACAAAATAAACTGATTCTCAGAGGGAAGGCAGGAGAGGGTCAGTGGGAAGAGATCAACTAAAGAACTTGTATGCATATATGCACAACCCATCCACACACTCAGTAGGGTGGTGAATGTCTGGGGTGAAGGGTGGGGGTGGGCTAGAAGTCAATGTGGGGAAAAAGGAGACTTATGTAATACTTTCAACGATAAAGATTAAAAAAAAAAAAAAAAAGGCAAGTGTGAGAAACTGTCACAGCCAAGAGAAGCCTAAGAAGACATGAGGATTAAGTGTAATATATCCTGAATGTGATGATGGGGAAAATGACACTGGGTGAAAATGAAGGAAATCTGAATAAAGTACAGACTTTAGTTAATTTTAATGTATTAGTATTGGTTAATTAATGTTAACAAAAGTACCACACTAATGTAAGATGTTAATAATAGGGGAAACTGGTTACAGAGTATATGGAAAATTGTGTTCCCCAATATTTCTGTATAGCTAGAATTATTATAAAATAAAAAAGCTTAGTACTAACCGGTTTGGCTCAGTGGATAGAGAGTAGGCCTGCAGACTGAAAGGTCCCAGGTTTGATTCTGGTCAAGGGCATGTACCTTGGTTGCTGGCACATACCCAGTAGGGGGTGTGCAGGAGGCAGCCAATCTATGTTTCTCTCTCATTGATGTTTCTAACTCTCTATCCCTTTCCCTTCCTCTTTGTAAAAAAAAAAAAAAAAAAAAAAAAAAAAAAAAAAAAAAATTAAATCAATAATATATATATTAATAAAAGGATAATATGCTAATTAGACCAGGAGACCTTCCAGATATCCTTCCAGACAAAGCCATGGTGGTGGGGCTGAGACAGAGTGGTTAGGGGCAGTTGGGGGCAAACAGGCTGGCAGGCAGAGTGGCTAGGGGCAATTAGGCAGGCAGGCAAGTGAGCAGTTATGAGCAGTGGTCCTAGATTGCGAGAGGGATGTCTGACTGCCTGTTTAGGCCTGATCTCTGTGGATCGGGCCTAAACCAGCAGTCAGATATCCCTTGAGGGGTCCCAGATGGGAAAGGGTACAGGCCAGGCTGAGGGACACTCCCTCCCCACCCCCTGTGCGAATTTTGTGCATTGGGCCACTAGTATATAAATTAAATAAAATAAAAAATAAAAAGGCTGATTATTTAAAATAAAAGTAAATAAAAGCCATGTAGCCAGAGTAGGGAGGATGCAGCGAGGACCTAAAAAGTATGTGGCTGTAACAGAGGAGGGCTGGAGCTCCGTGTGCATGGCACAGAGATCATGGGGAGGAGGCTTCAGCCGACAGGTCTCATGGGAAGCTGGGTGTGTGCGTGTGTGTGTGTGTGTGTGTGTGTGTGCACGGCGATTCAGTTATTGGTGTAAAGTTGAACTATTTGGTCACTATCTGCTAGAAGAAAAAACAACAACAGCAAAGGCTGCATAGTAACAAATGTGAAACCTTTATCCTGCTCTCTCCCTTCAGTCCTGCTTTTTGTCTCACCTGAGTTTTATAGACAGGAACAGTACTTCTCAGGTATGGTGGTGAAATACCCCAGAGTATTTGCAATGATCTCTAAAGCTCCTAGTAAATCTTCAAAGCAAAATTAATTCACTTCACCATCTATACTCATGGCAAACACACACAATTTAAAGCAAAACACATCTTTTTGAACAGGAAAGGGAAGTCAAGGAATCAATAGCAGGGGTCTGGAATCTTTAAGTGTCTGAGGATAGAAGAACAATTATTTGATTACTGATAGTACTTGGTCAACATCCACTTGAATACCAAGCACAGAACAGTAAAACAGATTCTTCCTCCAAGAAATTTACTAAATGAGACGTAAGACTTTTTTAAATTATAATTTTGAGAAAAACTAATGACATAAATTAACTATTTCCCTGTATTAACATAATAGTATTAATAGTACGTATTTATCATGGAAGAGTCCTAACATCAGAGAGAGGCCGGCAGAGGGCTGACACCGTTGATAAATGGAGCCTGCAGAAGATGCAGGACTGTCCCAGCAAGCCTTCTCACCTGGGGGAGCCTCACACACGTGGGAGCATGGTGCCACCCCGAGATTTCCCAGAGCTAAGTCCTTCTGGAGGAGGGAGATGAGGGACAGCTATCGCACTAGCAGCTCTCCTGCTTGAGATGTGGTCCAGTTTGTTTACGGATCACTACATGCTGAGCAGGAAAACTCCAGTGTTGGCAGTTGCTGTGGGCCTAAATATACAGAGACCTGCAAGGGCAGTGTTGGGACTGGGCCAGGTGAAGACACAGCCAAACTTTATCTCCACATCTGTATATAGAACCATGTGTCAGGCTTTTAATTACCCAAATGGCCTGGATTTGAAACAGGTAATTTCTGGGGAGCACGTGCTCTTGAAAGCCTGTAATATATCCCAAATTCCACAAATGACTTCCTAGAATTGGGTTTTTGGAGAGAATTCACTTATCAACTACAGAAGCACAGAATGTTAAAAGTTGCTCCAGATTAAAAAATTGTATGTGTGAAAGGAGGTGTGTAAAAAAACTACTGAGTACTTTCCAGAACCAGGTTCTACCACTTGATGGTATCAGATAATCAGAAACAAAAATTATTTCCTGAAGAAGAGCTTCGGGATCACCTCTTACACTTGCTTGGGATCACCGGTGTGGCTTCTACTCCATTCTCCTTGCATGTCAAGTGGATGAGCCAGCTCAAACCCCTGAACATTTCTGCACAACCTCCACCCCCACTTCCGGGTAACACATGTTCACTGTGTCAGAACTCCCCACACGAAATTACTTTTTGGCATCTACCTCCAACTTTCCCCCATATCTTATGCCCTCACTCTAAAAAGTAATAATACACATACTGGATAAATCTTTTAGAAATGAAGCAATGTTTATAACTCTAGCAGATAATAAAATGCACATGTTCAGGTATTGTTATGAATTAGAAGCAGCCATTAAAAAAAAAAATAAGGGTAGAAAATCAGTCCATCAAAGCTTTTAGCATAGAATCTAGCCCTTACAACCACCATGTATGCATGGTCACACATGGTCACCACACATCCACCACATGCCTGTCTAAGCCCAAGAAAGCAGAACAGGCCAAGGTGGTCAGGCTTAAGAAATGACCTGAATTTCACAATGAGCCTTCTTCTCCCGATATTTTGAAGTCTGAAGCACTCTACTGTAACAATCCACACCTTTATGGGACAGGTTTGGGCAGAGGTGTGATGTGGCTTAAATTTCACAGATTACAGACAGGCTCACACTCTGGGAGTGCCACTGCCCACCTCACCATGCAGCTGATCAAAGAAATCGAGCATGTGTGGTTATGTCTTCAATGTACATGTTTGGCACCTGGTGATTTTCTAGGCAGTGCAGAAGTAAGAGCCGTAGCCCTTTGAGAGAGTCTTTAAATTATATGAGAAGCGGCTGAGTCTTGAGTGGACTTGCTGTCACTTGTTTCTTTTCTGTCTTTGTGCTGCCACCTATAGAGAAAAGGAAAACATGTTGTATCCCAAAGAAGGAGTCCCCTGAAGTCCCAGGCACCATCTGCACCTCCTAGAACAGCAAAGCGATGCTGGCTGGTTTAGGGTCCCGAGAGAAGACCTCAGGTGAGGGAGGGGTTTTGGTGGACGCCTCCTTGGCGACTTTCTACAGCTCCTGGGAGTGGGTTGGTAAGAAACATATTTTCTTTCCAGTGTTTAAAGGAGGGAAATACAAAATAATGTTAAGGTTGCCCCAAACTTATGGAGCAAATACCATCATTTTAGAAAATACATGAAACACACAACAACAATATTTTAACAAATAATTCTTAAACCATTGTTCTCTTTCCCTTTTGTTTTCTTTTTAAAAAGTGGATCCTTTTTTATTATTATTTTTAAATAGTAGGAAGTCTTATGGAGACTTCCAATGTATAAAAAAGTATAAACATAGACTTGCTGAAGTAGTAGTCCCTAATATCCTCTGAAGAATGCCACCATAAGGTTAATCACTATAAGCTGGTTTCTCACTGAGTACAAAGTCAAGCATACTTTGAGGCTAAAAATTACCAGGGGAAAAAAGTTGATGGAAATCAGATTTCCAAGCCATAGCGGAGATAAGGTGTGACAGAGGTTAGACCTTTCTGACCACCCACATCCCCAGGGCTATGTCCACTTCCCGGCCCAGCCTTTCCCATAGCCCAGGCCTCCCCAACACGTCCATCTGTCTGCTCTCTAGAACATTCCACCCCAAAGTCACAGGATATACGTTTTTCTCAAGTGCACACACGTCATTTTCAAAGATAGACCACTGGTGCTCAGTGCCGCCTTTCATGTGGACAATGAGGGTCCCCAGTCTGCTTGGGGGACCGGGTGCACAGCCATCCTGAGTTGGAGAGACGAACTTCCAAGTGGTCTCACCTAGAATCAAAGTTAGGCGGCACAGATGCCCTGAGTGTGCCTGGGGTCTGGTCACAGGAGTGTGCACTGCAGGAAATAAAATTTGTGTCTGTGCACCCAGGCTCAAACCCAGTGCAGCCTCCCTGTGTGGGTGAGGGGTCTGTTCATGGGAGTGCGATCTGTGGGAAACAAGCTCCTCAAGTCTGCATGCCCAGGCTCAAATTCAGCCTCCCTGTGTGGGCAGGAGGGTGGTGCCACAGCGGGCCCGCAGGGAGGGGGATGGGCTCTGGACTCAAAGAAATCCACACCTGGAGTCCTGGTGTCCCTGGGTCTGCAGTTGTGGTCACAGGTCTTTTACCCGAGTGGCTATAGGGTTCCGGTTTGCATCTGAGACCAGATTGGGTGGTGGCAAAGCTAGGTTCCTAGTCTCAAGCAGCTCTGTTCTTCAAGGTGGTGTGGTTTCTGTGCCGGTGGTGTCCTCCTTGGATTGTTTGCAGTGACAGTGGGGTTTTGTCGTCCAAGACTGCCCAGCTTGGCAGCCCCTGGGAGACCTGCAGGATCTGACTCTCTCTCCACACACTCCTCTATCGCTCCCGCACTCTCTCATACACGCTCCTTCCCTACCTTCTTGCCAGTCACCATCCTACTTTTTTCTATTTTCTACAAAGAACATGTTTTCATCATAAAACAGAAAATGCCATTAAACAAAGCCAAAAACTAAAGGCTTTTAAAAAGTAGGTTTTCAGATATCTTTGCTATCTGATTTCTCTCAGTATACTGAAAGCCATATTGCTATGGCTACCATTTGGCAAAGTTGCATAAAATAACAGGCACACACTCAGATATTGTCACATGTCAGTTTATTGAGAAAATTGAGAGCCTAGAGGTTGACTCTAGTCACTTGATTACTTTTCAGTATGTCAAAGAAGACTCCAAAGTCCAAATCCATTTAGTTACAGAATTACTTTCCCATATTTTGTTCAAGAACATAAAATTCATATACAAAGAAATGTTCAAGTGAATCTAAAAACTGCTCTTTTTTTTATTTCAAAGGATGGTGATTTAGGGTCAGGAAGTACAGCGACATGGAAGAAGGATAAAAGTGGAACATGTAAAAGATAAAACATTTTTGCTGGATTTCATTTTCAGTTTCAAATCTTTTCAACTTTTCTTTTTATTTTTTGCACCAAAAAAGGAATCAATACTTTTCATTCCAGACTTGTCAACTTTAGCCAACACCTTTTGAGCTGCAGTCATTTTGCTATTTTTCTGTTCACAAAAATAAGAGAAAAATTGTTTCAAATGCAACATTTATAAATCACACATGCAAATCAAACCTCACCATGCATGGCTCAAGATTCATTAAGGGAGGTAAGTAAGCATTTGCTAACATGCTTCATAAGGGAGTGCTAATTTTAAAAAGTTCTGATTTCAATTCAGAATTCAAACTTAAGAGATAAAATATGTTTAAAAAAAAAGAAAAAAGAAAAAAGAAAAGGCGGGAGACAAACTGCTGCCTTTCCTGAAGTTTTACTATTGGGGAATAATTCTGGAGGGTGCATTAAGTGCAATAACACAAACAATGGAACTGACACAGGCAGCAATTGCCAGAGAAGGAATTACAGCCTTGTATTACTACATGATGAATAATTCACACCAATTTACCATCTGATTTTATTCAGAGGGAAAACAAGAACATATATGGTAATAGAAGGGGACTTGTTTTGGGGTGAAGGAGATATTAACCAATGTCACCCCAATAAATTCAATAAAAAATAAATTTAAGAATGTTACCATATTCAAAAGATTTTAAGAAAATTAATTTTTTTAATTTAAGAAAATGTTACCATATTAAAAAAATAGCTGGCCTATTTTCCCCTCTAACAACAAAATTCTTTTAAAAAAGCTGATTCTAAATATCTCTGCTATGTAAATTGCTCTCTTTTCCTTGTCACTGTTTTTTTTGTTTGTTTTTTTTTAGTTTTTTTTTCTTTTTGTGACACGTCTAACAGAAGGTAAATAGCAGCCGATTTTATTTTGACGCATCACTTGTTCAACAGAAGCATAAATAATGGGAATCAGCAAAGAAAAAAAAATCAGCTGCCTTTCTGGGAACTGTGAGACAAAGTTATTGCCAAAGTATCTTTTAGGACACAATACATGATCCCTGAACTTTTGCTTCTTACATTCTGTCACTTATAATTCAGTAGGGTTAGGGTCAGTCTCTGAGATAAGTCATCCCTTGCATTTAACTGACATCCTGTTATCTCACTGGTGCTATGCCCTAGAGCAGCAGTCAACAACCTTTAGGACCTCATGGACCACCCATCGGTTGGCCACTGCTGCCCTAGGAGATACAATGGGCAGTTAAAAGTGTGGGGCAGAAATACTTCTCACAGAGAATCTCAAAAATACCCCTGCTTACAGAAACCATGGAGGTCACCAGGTATTTAGCCATATCTCAAATTAGATTATCCCCTGATATCACAAGCTCAGATAAATTATATATACAGAATAAAATTTATTTAAAAACTTTATAAGGGGAGAAAAATATGAAAATCTAAGTGGAAGTTAACTATTTTGGGATAGGCAAGGTCTTTCTAAGCATAAAAATAATGAGAAAAATCATAAAGAGTAATTTCTATATTCAATCCTAAGAAAAACTTAAAACTTTAAAAATGAAAAGGCTGAACACAAATTTGAAAATTCTTGTACCTTCCTTATATGTTATGAAAAGTATGAATAGAACAGGCTCAATTTAGAACAGGCTCTTACAAATGAACCAGGAAAACATTACTATCCTAATATAAAAACAGGCCTAAATGCAAATGGCCAATAAGCATTGAAAAATACAACTAACTTTATAGTTAAAAAAATGTAGCCTAACTATACAGGCAAACATTTTTTAGAATAAAAATAATACTCAGTGTTGTCAAGAATGGAAGATGAATACTCATCAGGAATAATGGTTAGGAGTACAAATTTCTACTACATTTTTGGAAAACATTTTATTTATATCTATACTAATAAAAGGGTAATAAGTTAATTAGACGGGGTTGACCAAAAATCTTCCAGTCATCTGGTCCTCCTTCTGGACAAAGCCACGGTGGCAGGGGCTGAGGCAGAGGTGGTTAAAGGCAATCAGGCTGGGAGGGGAGCAGTTAGGGGTGATCAGGCTGGCAGGAGACAGTGGTTAGGGGAATCCTCCCCTGCCAGTAGGAGAGGGGTTAGGGGCAAGCAGGCAGAGTTAGAAACATCGATGATAGAGAAACATCGATGAGAGAGAAACATTGACCAGCTGCCTCCTGCACCCCCCTACTGGGAAACAGCCACCACCACAGACTATAGGAAACCATGTTAAATTCACTCAAAGTTGCTGAAACTGGTTTGGCTAAGTGGATAGAGCGACAGCCTGCCGACTGAAAGGTCCCAGGTTTGATTCTGGTCAAGGGCATGTACCTTGGTTGCGGGCATATCCCCAATAGGGGGTGTGCAAGAGGCAGCTGATCAGTGTTTCTCTCTCATCGATGTTTCTGGCTCTCTATCCCTCTCCCTTCCTCTCTGTAAAAAATCAATAGAATATTTTAAAGAAAATAAAAGATTATAAAATCAGCCCTAGCCAGTTTGGCTTAGTGGATAGAACGTTGACCTGTGGACTGAAGGGTCTTGGGTTTGATTCCAGTCAAGGGCATGCATGTTGGTTCTGGTCAGGGCATGTGCCTGAGGCAAACAATCAATGTACTTCTCACATGATATTTCTCTCTGTCTCTCCCCAGCTTTCTCTCTCTAAAAAAAAAAATCAATGGAAGATATCCTCGGGTGAGGATTAACAAAAAACAGAAGAATTGTAAAATCACAATAGCATACAATTATGCAGCATCACTCACTGAGTCCAAGTGTATGCCACTATGTCTGGACACACATACCTTTTCAGTCTTCATATCTTTGGTATTAAACTTAGTGTAATCTTCTTTTGCTTCTACGGGCTCATCTGACAACTTTACCTTCTGCAAATGTTAGAGTAGTGAAATGGTGTAAAATGCCACCTTAACACATCAATCAACTTAAAAAGAACCAATGTGGAATTTGGTCCCACACTAAGG